CCTGTATACCAGCTTTTAAATAAAAACAATATATTTACGAACACTTGGTTTTAAATCACACATTTTTATTTGTTGAAATAAAAAGCGTTTTGTAATTGTTCTTAACGGTTTACAACAATAAAAGAAATTGTGCTCTCTAAATTCCAAAGGGAGAAATTAGGGACTGGACGTTTTCGAGTGAAAATCTACCACTCATTTTAGATTGAAAAAGTCTGAAAAAAAACCCATTAAGTTCAGTCAGAGCTCGAGTAAAATCTGGATCGTTTCGATTGAAGGAATTTCACTCCAAAACGTCTAGTGGGGGTTTCCGACTGTGGGAGTGAATGAATCTTCACTCGAATGGAGTGAATTTTCACTCTTTGGAATTTAGAGAGTACTGTAATAAACATAAGAAAAAATAGAAAAACAAAAAAACACCCCAACAAACACCCCGACTAACTAACATGTAACCCAACACTAATTTAATGCTACTGATTTATTTCATAGTTATTGTATTGTGGTACAATTTTACGCAGCTATTTTTTTGACAATACCATTGTCTTAAACCGATTGACGAAATGTCCGTACACGTTAAACAATGAAACTGAAATACGTTAAAGCGATTAATGTTTAATGATAACGGTTTAACCCTAAAAGGGCTAGGGCGGAATCCACCCCCCCCCCTCCAAACTCCGCCTTTTTTCACGATAGGCATGATTTTTTTTTCTTCGCAGTTTAGACTTTGTAATCTTGAGCCTTTTGCATCTTTTGATACCAAAAGCATAAAAATCGTACCACGAGTTGCCATGCCTTGAAAATTTAATTTCCCCGCTAAACTCTGTATTGCGGCCACCTGTCTGATGTGGCCAACATTTCATTGCATACAAGCTCATTAAAAAGAATATGCAACCTTTGCCTTTTCTTTAATTTTCAGAAAAGGATGTATTTGGGGTTTCAGTATTTCATTGTAAATATATACGGACTTGTGTGAACGTTGTAATCGTTAACACTGGAAAACCCAAGAAACATCATTTTCATGAAGTCTAGTTCCCTGACCCCTCTTTAAATGAAACAAAGCAATTTGTAGATGCCGGTGATTTGTAATTTAAAGTCAGGAAAACAGTCTACCTGGCTTGTACCAGAAGGTGTGCAATCGATTGAAACAAAATGTGAACTAAGTATGGTAAATTTGGGGCAGTATTTAAAAAAAAGTCAGTTTTTTCCAATCTGGTCGGCCAACCAGCGTTGGAATTTGATGCAAAAATAACCACTTTTCTTTAAAATGACAGCACATCAGTTGCGATGATTTTACAGGATATGCTTTTGACTGGCCTTTATTCACAGTCAACAAACGGTATTTCATAACAATTTAGTATAGTTTTATTTTTGGATGTTTGCAAATGTTGTACATTCCCTTTAAATGTTCACTTTGCTTTCTGAAACTGCACTGGAAGACTACTGCATATGACCCATAATACATTTATGCGAGTTATTTCAATGAAGTGCATTGCAGGCAGGGGCAGACATGTTACTGGAGAAGGTTCATTTTATCTTAGCTTTTAGGTTTTTCAAAGTGGTTATTTATTTGCCTTTATGTCACTTTTGAATCAGATGAAACTCACTAACAATATACTCTAATTCAGAGTCAGAGTCTGTATTTGAGTTGTCATCTAGACAGTCTTGATCATCAGAATCCTGATCACCTTTGGTGAATGCTGCTTTTGTCACAAAATGCACACCTGACAATAAACTCGTGATTGGTTGTAAGTCGTTCCCTTGTTGACCCCCTCTGCGCTCTACAACCTGCCAAACCATCATTATTCCAACATTGTGACGGAACATGCAGTGCAAAGACTTTTTCACTGTAAATGCTTTTCTACAATTTCTCTGATAATATACAGTGTATGTCAGGGACATATGTATCTGATGATAAAACATGCAGAATGGGCTCAAAGGCACGGGTTTTGCAGTGTAAAGCAGTTTGACCCAAGAAGACAAACTTTGGGGGCGTACGAGTTCTGCATTGTTCATGTTGTCTCCTTTAGCTGTGTTTTGGTCACACATTTGCATGGGAAACATGTCATGCGAGGTTTCTTTGATGGTGGATGGAATTCAGGTTTATATTATGTTCTTCCTCATCTCTTTCAGTTTGTTTTGTTTGTGGTGCAAAATAAATGCTAGCTAGCAGAAGAGTAACCCCTAAAATGTATTGGGAAAAGCGAAATATTCCTATATGCAACAGCAGTCACATCACACTTCTTACATGAAATAGATAGACAGGTACATAGGCCAACTAAATATATGTAAGTGCATTAGGTAACACCTTGAACACAACCAGAGTTGCCACTGCTGGCAAAAAAATTCAAGATCTTGAAAAATTGAAACCCATCTTGAAAACTTGAAAAATAAATCTGAACAAGCCAATCAGCTTGAAAAAAATTCCCAAATTGCAAAAACTCTATTTATGTACAATATTTTTTTTACGGTTGTGTGATTTGTATTGTTAATTTATTACATGTATTTTCATTTAGCAGCTCGCTACAGTCAGTATCCAGTAAGAGAACAAAGACTTTTGGTTTTTAACAAAATACTAAAAAAAACTTTAAAAAGCATCAATCTTCGGCATAACTTTTACACAAAAGTCTTGCTTTGAAATATATGTCAATGCATTTTATTAAGTTTAGGCCTATATACACAAGTTAATGATTTGCATAGGCTTGAAAAATCCGGGACAATTGTTATAGACCAATCTTGAAAAAAATATGGAGTGGTAATACTGAACACAACTATACTACTTATCTACGAACTACAACTGTCATATGCCTCAAACATGGCACCACTACTAGGCAAATAGGGGGTACCGTCACATTTGGTTCTGGACTAAAAAAATATAAGAAGTGCAAGAGACATGTAGGATTCTTTAAAAATTTATTTAAAATGACTTTAATTTACAATAAAACAATGGGACTATGGATTTATGGAGAAAGCAATTGATTGTTGCTGACCACAAGTAAGCAATTCACCAGCAGTCCAGACCATTCACACAGCACGATACAGATCGGGCCATTGACTCGGTAGAAATACATGTACATGTACATGAACCTCCATAGATGGGGCCAACAATCCTGGCCAAATCTTCGCTTGGCCCCCAACTCCCCAGCCCTGCCGTTCAATGTTTAAAGAATTCGGACATTTGTATTTTTAATTTCCATTTTTGTATTACTGTCAATCATTATTATCTGGCCTAAATATTTGTTCTTTCATTCAACCTTCGGCCGCCATTTCATATTTTGGAAACAAAACTCAAGAAAACAGCTCCCAAAACGGTATGTCATGCATATTTTGAAAAATAAAAAAATTCAGACAATCCTGGCCAAATTTCGCTGGGCCCCCAACCCCCCAGCCCCCGTTCAATGTTGTCTCTCACTGCGCGGTGTGTGCTCCATCCGCTGAAGAGAACAACATTGACCGGGGGAGCGGAGGAGTAGGTGACCATTGCAGGCTAGGGGTATTTCCAAGCAAGTACTGTCCCAACCATTTTGGCCGGGATTGTAGCAAGGCCGAATCTGGACTATACAGGCACAGACAATTCCTTCCTCCATGGGCAGATAAAACAAATTCCTGAGCGAGAATAATCAGTCTCAGAAGAGTCACAACTAGTACAAGGTCGCCCCTATCCATGTAGATGTAAATAAAATGTAAGTTATTTCGTTTTCCACGGGGAAAATAAATGACACATAGTCCATCGTACAAACAGCAACCGTCGAACACGTAAAGTCACATTGATCAGCACTTACGACCGCCACGGTGACCGTGATACATTCAAGAACACCTATTAACGCACACTTCCTAAATCACTAAATACTTCTCAATCCATCAATGACCTGTCAACCACTTTCAACCTTTAAATCTTTCATGGTAAACTTTCTCATCGGCTCAACGTAAACATTTAACGGACACAGCACTTGCTGAACTGTACGGCTGTTTACTGTTGGCCGAAGCCAGTTTGATTTCTTCATCTATCACATAACAATATACTGTGTAACATTTGACAGGTTCCTCAAACAGCCGTCCGTTGTGTGAAAGTAAGAGGCTGTCAGAACTTAAACATTTACGGCAAAAATTCTTTCGAAAAATAAAGTCATAAGCTACCGTTTTAGAAGATCTATCATATTTTTCTGTACATGTACTTTTCATATTATTTTTTTTCTGCACTGAAAAAAAAAATTGGAATTATTCCCTAAAAATGGTAATGATAAATTTGATGGCTAATGAACTGTAATACCAGTCTTACAAGTAGCAAGGGTCTCAGTTTTGGGTTCGTTTGACTTTGATCACGCGTGGCAAATGCTCATTGCCAAATGCACATTCCCAATGATCAATGCATACTTAGCAAAATAAACGGAACATGTTGCGTGCTGATTGGTCAAGTTTTTACACGGGAATTTTGTTGAAACACAACTTCATAATGTCTCGTTAATTGTGTGAACGTGGTGTTTTGGACAACGGTAGACAGCACGATACATGTCAACCACAGAGCACGTGTGCGAACACTTCACTACTATTTATCAGCTTGCAATTGGATGATGGATGAACTACATGATATGTACCTAAGTCGAAAGCCCTTCTTACACTCGAACTTCTCAAACTTGGTTGTACTTAACCCTGTTTTTTCGGCGCCGGACTTTCGTCCCTGGCTAGTAATATCTGGCCGACAAAAACCGTGACCGTATTTGATCACGTGACTGTGTGCCCGTTTGTCTGAAGAAACAAAAAAATGCAACGATCACAGTATACTTATTCACTATGTTCGTATGGCACATTGCAAACATGTAAAAATTGTACACAACCTGAATAATCTTCTCGGTGTGTGCAAATGAAAAGGCATATTCCCCTACATTTTAGTGCGATGGGTTTTCGGAAAAGTCGAAAAAATAAACACAAAAGCAAAGTGATTTCTCAAGACTTTTTTGGAAATTTGAATTTATAATATAATACACAACGGTAATCTAACCCTTATATACTTATGCCATGCCAAAACCTGTGCTGTTGAGGATGCCAAATTCCATTTCCTCTTTGAACTTGTGGTATGTGTCATGGACGATTGGAAGCTCCAGAACGTTTGCGCAGGTTTTGCCCCTTGGGAACCGTGTGCCGTCCGTTGCGAAGGCTAGTGTAGGTTCTGGCACAAAACCGATGGCTGGCACAGCATCACCTCCCGTTGAAAATACGAGGATGTCCTCGAATTTCAGCGTGGACAGTTCCTCTAAAATATGGATATGAATGGATTAAACTTTTTTAACTGTTAGTATCAATAAATGTATAGACATTTTTTTAAACAAAACCTCAAATCATTATATTGAGTGGCAGTATTTAGGACGCCGAAGGTGCGACACTAGAATTATTGATTTAGCATTGAATATATATCACAAAAACGCCAACCTATATAAACACTCATTTTAATGAGTATTATTTTAGTAAGCCTACAGTCAATTTTCATGGAGTGAAATTTTATTGAAATACTGATGGGAAATACTAAAACTGTGACTGTAACAAAGGCGTCCCCGGGAAAGCGATTTCTTTCGATTTCCAACAGTACAAAAAAATATTAAGTTGGACACTGAACTTAAAAAGGTATAAATACATACGCACTGAAATGGCTTTCCAGTTGTTATTATTTTTTGTGCTACACAATATAAAATATAATATTTGGGGTTGCGTTCCACTTTTTTTTTCTCGGATATTTACCCTCTATGTCTTGTAGTAAATCTCGCCAGTGTCCAATGACCTGCAGTTCTTTCACTCGAGCGTTACTCCCTTCTTCGCTAAGCTGTCCTATCTTGAATGTTTGTTCCACTGTGTCTGTGCTCAGTGGTGTCGGTTCCCCAGGGGCCACAAAAATAGGTCGGAAGACCTCCGCATGTTTTTTTACGGCCTCATGAACACCGAGGGTGTTCAACCCAGCACACAACCTACCACACAGAGTATAATGTTTGCAACATGAAATGAATGAGCAAAGAGCCTATTTTCGTACGTGACCAAGTTGATTTTCTTATTAGAAATTACGGACTCAATTTTGTTAGAATATAATAGTGTGTTTAATACACTGCAAAAACTGTGATTAGCAATTAAACACTTTTCTAAACACTTTCTTGCTATCAGTTTGTAAACAAGTTTAAATACTAAACATGTTTAGAGTAAGGATGGATTGTGTTTAGCTATTGAACATTGATGTTTAGGTATTAGACACATAATGTTTAGCATCTAAACATGTTTACAAAGTGATAGCAAGATTGTGTTTAATTGCTAAACACAGTTTTTAAAGTGTAGGAAGGGGCGTAATCATACATGTCGCCACTACATTTTAAGTTAAGTGGAATGGAGTTTGGCCGCCACCATGCATTTAAGTTTTTATCAGACTTGTGTTTTCTTAAAAGGAAGTGGTTTTCTGGCTAGAAAAATAGCAAGGAAGAACCGGTTTTGTGCAGGCAAAATTCAGGAAATAATCTGTTGATATTAATAACTTGTTGGAAAGTTCCAAGGTCATTCCAAGAAGGTTGCCGCCGTGAATTAGGGTTAAAGCATGGGAGGGGATGGGATTTGCTATCAGCATCAGCAGGGCCGTTCCTCATTCTTTTCTTTTTATGGGATGTATGATAACATTGGAGTACGAGGGGCTCTGCGAGCTGATGAATCTTTTTTTGAAAACATTGTGTTTGCAACCAGCTAGGGAAGATTTTCGTTTATTTAAAACTTACAAGCACTGGTATGGATACCTGTGTAGTTATATGACTAAACTGCCTAGAGCGTATTTGTTAAGGTTTTTTTTTCCTTTTTTGGAAATTCAATACGCATATAGGGAGTAAGATCAGTTCCACTGCTGGGTTGCGGTAATGGGTGGGTTATAACTTGTCAACACATACCTCGCCAGCGGGCCCATTAGATTGGTGATAACCGGAGAGCGGGAGTTTCAAAAAAACTCATCCGGTGTATAGGCGACGCAGGGACTGGTTTGTGTACATGTGGTTTTTGTTTCTAGTTCACTTAATGTTTTGATTTATACCGGTGATAATATGCCGTCCCACCTGTTTTTCTTTTTTGTGTGTCGGGGGAAACAGTGCATATTTTCTGTGCCCTTTTTACGCACTTCATCAGTCACCCTTTGTTTAATTCTTTTGTACGTATTTACTTTATTGCTAATGATGGTAAAGAATATTTTACGCGTTAGCATTTCTTGTAATGATCAGACTAGGTGGATTCCTTATTTTTTTATTTTTTATTTCGAAATCCATGCCTAAATGACCATTATGTTAGTTCTGTTCTTCAAGAAGTTCCAAAAGGATTTGAACGTTCTCCTCATCCAAGTTTTTTTCTTGGTTGGATGGTGGAGATGGGTTAATCCTTGAACGGACCAGGCCATCTTTTATGTTTTTTTGTCGTTTGTATGCCAGGATGGGTTGGGTTGCAAAGAGTGCACTGAGAAAATCATTATCCATAAGGGCTCTCACAAGCTTCATTTTGGAATACACGTATGCCCACTTTTATGGGAACCAAAGAATTTATGAGTTGACATGTAAACATGTTTTCCACACCAAATTATAAGGGAGTGTAACAAATACAAAAACAAAACAAAAAAGCTCAAGATTGCCTGTTACAGGTCGATTTTCTGTTAGCAACGTGTGCACCCACTTTTTTAAAAGGTTGTCCCACCCCAAAAGAGGCACAATTGTGTTATTTTTTTCCTGTGATGTAGCACTTCATTTAAATGTCCAAATGAAAAAAAAAAAAAAAATTTGAAATATTATTTTACGCGCGAAGCCCCCACTTTTTAAAATCATGGCCACGCCCACAAAAGGGTTAGAAAAAATGGCATCAAGTGATTTTGAACTTCTTGAGGTATCCTCTAGTGATCCCGAGAGTTTCAAAGAATGTACCCGAAATTGAATATGGGGGGTCATTTTCGACCGTAAGCCCACTGAATATCAGTGCAGTGCGCAACATCGCGTAGCTGGAGTGTCTTGGACGCTGAATTCGGGCACAATTCAAAACATGATTCAGCAACTTTTGATTCAGAATCGAGATCCTAGAATGATGTTTTTCTCGGAATATACACATGGTCGTCGCGATGGGGGGGGGGGCAAGGGTGGCACCCCCCCCCCTGAAAAAAGGGGTGGATGAAAAAAAGAAGAAAACGAGGTGCGAAGCCATATAATAATTACAATGCCAAACACCTACTTTTTTCCAAACTCAAAACCAGAAACGGTTGCAAATTGAGCTGTTTAAAAAAGTGCGTAGTCCTATAGTGGATTATGTTGAGTGTGAGGAGAGAGACAACCATCGTTAGAGTGTTTCAGCATAAAATGGAGTATCGTGATTCAGGATCGATTAAAACAATAATATCCAATGTTTCATTCGCTCAAAAAAAAACCCACCCAAAACACCTTAAATACGTTCAAACAAATTAATTTGAACGCTTGACATATGGGCCAAGTGAACTTCGATTACCTTTTTTTTGTACACAGCCTGTATAATGCAGTGATATAACGCTTAAAACTATAACTGATGCCAAATAAAATCCGGTCCACTCAATACATATATATTCATGTTCTCACTGCCCTCAGTTTTCTTAGTTTTTCATAAAATAATGAGCTAATGTAATGATATTACTGAAATGCATGGGCGTCGCGAGGGGGGGGCAAGGGGGGGCACTTGCCCCCCCCCCCCCCCTGGAAAAGCAAAAAAAAAAAAAAAAAAAAAAAAGGGAAGAAAAAAAAAAAAAAAAAAAAAAAGAAGAGGCGCGAAGACAAAGTGGTGTAAATTTAATGAGTGGGGGGGGGGGGGCAAAATGTCCCTGCCCCCCTCTAAAACTGATAAATCGAGAATGTGTTGAGAAATACAAGCATTTTTGGCAAAAAAAAAATTTGCCCCCCTCTAGAAAAAATCCTGGCGACGCCCATGCTGAAATGTACAACAGTTTTACTTACATTCTCATTGTTGAAGTTAGTACAAACAGCTTCGAAGTCCGGCAGGTTCAAAGTACGCAGTATGTTAATGACGGGCTCCATAATGTAGGCTGAGGAAAGAATTATGTGACGATATTCAGTGATCTGTATGACAAAATAGGTGTGAGCATTTGTGGCTGTCAAGTTGTATTTATTTTTAAAATTCTTTTCATCTTTTTAAGTAGGCCTATGAACTATGCATGTTATAATGTGAAATCTTGAAAGAAAGAAATATCGCACCTAGTGCATGGTTCCACAGATCCTCTCGCAATCAACGGTTACATTTTACTTTCAAGAACGACATTAATACCAACTTAAGGAAAATGTGACAAAAAGTGAAAAGAGATATGTCTGGGCCTGATATCTGCTAGCATCAATCAGTTTCAAAACAGCACACCCTGCGTACATGGTATACACCGTGGTTTTGTTGCTGTTTAAAGAATGGTTACAGTGGTCAGAAATTGCCTCAGATCGCACCATCATTGAGTACCTACGATTCACAAAAAAGTAAGACGGTCACAACGCCCCACACCCAACGCCGTAAAGTTTTGACCCACTGTTTGGGTTAACAAATATGTTTTGGGGTCCTAACAATTTTGGTATTTACTTATTTTATTTTATTACACTTCTCTACTGGCTGATATAAAAAAAAAATAACAAGATTTACAGAATCACTGATTAAGAAATTAGAGAGTTTACAATATCAATAAATTGTTGAAATGAAAATGATGAAAATGAGGAATCGGATCTGGCTGCAAACGAGAGCTGGTTTTAAGTACTAAGATGTTTTAAGATGACACTCTGTCTTTCACTGTATATAATTTAAGCTTTATATAAGCCTACGCAATCATGGTAATTTCAGAACACACAAAAAAGGAAATATATACTTACATGTAGTATTCTATGGTGCCTTACAAGTCATACGTTGACAGCATGTACAGAGAGAACTTCAATAACTTATATTTCAACAAGTAGTCACCGACAGAACTAACGAACAATTGCGAAGCGCACCGATAGCAAAAGTCATGCAAGGTTGATCACCGATCGTGAAAGACCATCACCCATGGGCGTCACAGGGCGGGGGGGGGGGGGGGGGGGGGAGCACGGGGGCGCCCCCCCCCGGAAACCCCCCCTCCCCCCCCAAAAAAAAAAAGATGGGAGAAGAAGACAAAATAAGATGAAGTAATATTGTTTGAAAAATGCCCACCCTCGAAAAATCTAAAATCGTGAATATGCTGGAAAAATCCAGGTATTTCAGGGAGAAAATATGTTTTGCCCCTCTGCAAAAAAAATCTGGCCACGCACAAATCGTTGTGTTTTATAGCCACATTACCAATGATAGGGAAAACCGGTCGAATTATCAGTTGTTATGGTTATATCAATAACGGCAACACCAAACCCTAGTGGGCAACACCGGAGACTCAAAGCCACGACATACACAATATGCTTGACAATAAATGAAATACATGAACATGAGATATGTGGCAATAATAACAACAAATGAAAATTTTACTTGAATTACCAAAAAAATTACTTTCCACATCATAGCCTCATGACACTTGAGAGCGCTACGGCAAGTATCAAATTAGCCAAAACAAAATAGAAAAACAAGGGATTGAATGGTTTGCCCCATAAATATGAGGAGCAGGCTGTCTGTATCCTAAAAATTGCGAACATTTTAATCCTTGTAATTTGTGTGGTCTCTTGAAACCTTGGAGCACTATAACTGGCGGATGTAAGGGGGGGTGGTGGTGGAAAAACATTTGCAAGGAAAGTTGCTCTGTGTACTGTCCATCATGTGCTCGCTTAAGTGTGCTTAAGTGACCAGAGGGCCCCACATATCTATACCAAGATTGGCTATTAGATGGATTTATGATGATGATGATGATGATGTGATTGCATTCCTGTGCCCCCTGGACGCCTGGTCAGGCCCCCCAATAACCCCGCCATATGCTGTCTCCAATGACCCACACATCAATCATCATATTACGCAAAAAACTTTTATCACGTATTAAAAAAAATACTCGGACTCAAATTTAAGGACATGAGAAACACATTGCTGAGATGATTGGTAAAGCTAATAGAAAATTATTCATGTTCAGAAACTGAAAGAAACTGGTTTTACTCACAGAACTTGTTACCCTATGTTAGACCAGTCCTAGAAAACGCATCGCCGGTTTGGCACTCAAGCATTACACTCAAACAGACCAATCTAATTTAGTCGATCCAAAAGAGTTTGCAGTATTACTCTATCTCTGGATCACCTTTATGATAGAAGAACCACTATGTGTACAAACTTTGCTCTAGGTGCTTTTAAATCCGGCAGATTTAATAAGTGGTTCCCTCAATCAAAAAGTTGTCACACTATGAATCTGAGATCGAGTAGAACACTCAAGGAGTATCCCAGTTCATCCGAGAGATTTCAAAATAGCGCGGACTCATGAATAGTTCAACATAGGATTTTCAAATGTATACAATTTTAATAGCTATTATCCGAGTGTATATGTTTTTGAGAATAATGGATTGTTGTTGTGCATTTTGTATGTGTTTCGATTTCTCGTGAAATGTGTTTATTTTTAATTCATTTCAATTTTTAATGCAAATCACTGTGCAATTCAGCTTCTGAGCTGCTTGATGGTGATAATCAACCCAAATAATAACAATGTTAATAATAATGATACAAAATACTAACTTATAATAACCCATAATTGGCTATTTGGGGAACACTTCCATAAACTAGGGCACACAATATTTTCCACCAACTTTAATGACCCTAACTCCAATTTTACCTTATTTCGCCGGGTAATTTTTACTAATTCGACCACGAGCAATCGAGTGTATTTGCGACGAAAATATTTTGCCTCTAAGTGTATGACGCTAAAGTGTCTTCCAAAGGGTATATGCCTATTGTAAATCATTCTGTTCATGCCACATCCACAGAGGAGTGTTTTATTCCGGATACCTGTGATATGGCATATACCGTTTGAATTGTTAATTGTTATGGTTATGTTAATATGGGCAACACCAAAGGCCAAATCCACAGCGGCATACACTAACTACAAACATTTCACGGACATTACAAAAAATGGAGTTCGCAAGTGAGAACGGCCATATTATAAAACATATAACCGTATTAACACAATTTAGGGGCAACACCAGGCCCGACCAACACAAGAAACTCAAAGCCACGGCATACACAATATGCTTGACAATAAATGAAATACATGTAGGCCTATATGAAAATGAGATATATGTGCCAATAAATGACAACAAATGCAAATTAAACTTGAATAACCAAAAATAGCTTCCCACAGATGTACATTCAGTCAGGAAATCATCATAGATTCGTGACACAGTGAGATCGCTACGGCAAGTATCAAATAAGCCTAACAAAATAGAAAAACAAGGGATTGAATGATTGCATTTGCCCCATAAATATGAGGAGCAGGCTGTCTGTATCCTAAAAATTGCGAACATTTTAATCCTTGTAATTGATATAGTCTCTTGAAACCTTGAAGCACTATAACTGGCGGATGTAAGGGGGGGGGTGGAAAAACATTTGCAAGGAGAGTTGCTCTGTGTACTGTCCATCATGTGCTCGCTTAAGTGTGCTTAAGTGACCAGAGGCCCCACATATCTATACCAAGATTGGCTATTAGATGGATTTATGATGATGATGATGATGATGTGATTGCATTCCTGTGCCTCCTGGACGCCTGGTCAGGCCCCCCAATAACCCCGCCATATGCTGTCTCCAATGACCCACACATCAATCATCAGATGCAAAAAACGTTTTACCATCTATTGGATCAAACAAATCATTGTGTTTATGCCACATCCACAGAGGAGTGTTTTTATTCCGGATACCATCGATTGGGCATTTACCGGTTGCACTAGGGCACCAAAGCCCAAAGCCACAGCGGCACACACTAACAACAAACATTGTACGCACATTAATTTTAAAAAAAAATGCACTTCACATATGAGAAAGACACTTTCAAACACAAAAATACCGTAAACAAATATCACCGTCAGGGGCATCACGAGAAACCCTAAGCCACAGCGGTATGCACGTTCAATAACTGGTGGATTTTGCAATCGGTGATGGGTCGTTGATCATCGGTCGCTAAAGTCCATCACCGATCGCAAAAGTCCATCACCGATTGCAAAGTTGATCATCGGTCGCGAAAGTCCATCACCGATCGCAAAAGTCCATCACCGATTGCAAAGTTGATCATCGGTCGCGAAAGTCCACCACCGATCGTTAATATGCATCACCAGTAAAAGTCCATCACCGATCTCGAAAGTCCATCACCGATCGTGCATATGCATCACCAGTGAAAGTCCATCACCGATCGCGAAAGTCTATCACCGATCGTGAATATGCATCACCAGTAAAAGTCCATCACCGATCGCGAAAGTCCATCACCGATCGTGAATATGCATCACCAGTGAAAGTCCATCACCGATTGCGAAAGTCCATCACCGCTCGTGAATATGCATCACCAGTAAAAGTCCATCACCGATCGCGAAAGTCCATCACCGATCGTGAATATGCATCACCAGTAAAAGTCCATCACCGATCGCTAAAGTCCATCACCGATCGTGAATATGCATCACCAGTAAAAGTCCATCACCGATCGCGAAAGTTCATCACCGATCGTAAATATGCATCACCAGTAAAAGTCCATCACCGATCGCGAAAGTCCATCACCGATCGTGAATATGCATCACCAGTAAAAGTCCATCACCGATCGCGAAAGTCCATCACCGATCGTGAATATGCATCACCGATTGCAAAAGTCCATCACCGATTCGATGATCACATTAAATGCCTCTTTGGCGTTCCATACTCTCGGCACTCTCTCGGCACTCTCTCGGGTGGTGCAGTGACTTATGAACGCAGGCCCAGGCAACCTCCATCATTTTCGGGTTCGTAGGCCAGCCGAGGTCACAATTATAGCAGCAGCAGGCACCGCGGCTGTTTCCCACACCTCCTACGGCGGGGCGAGGTTGCTCAATGTTCTCCTAGTCGAAACCTTCAGAATTGGCGCAAAAAAAATCAAGAATTTGGAATGGTAAGAAAAGAATTAAGTAATTTTTGTATTAATGACCACTAGGCACTACGTCAGTATAGTGTAACTATTGACGTTCCCTAACATGGCACACTTTGAGTTTTTGCCTCAATAGTGTCCCCATGCTTGCATGCTACTGCTTTAACTTCTTTGTATACCCGGTGGTTTTTCCTTACTTTTTTGAACGTTATCTCAACAGTGAAACTGTTTTATACGACAGCGGGTAAATTGACGACAATCGAAGCGAAAAAGATCATGATTATGATATGATATGATAATTTATTGTACACAATAAGCATGCGGAAATTTGTTTTCCACCCATGCAGCACTACAAATTTATCTGAATAAGATAAGATCACGAGCTGCGCTGGCTGCGCGGTTTGGACTTGAATCAGCAGTCTGGATATTTAAAGTTGATTAAAACCTCTCCAGTTTGCAAACCCGTATGCCTAGTGGTACAAGCTTCGTTTTTCACCATCCCAACTAGAAGTTTCTTGTCAAGCAAATGATAATCTTGTTGCGGCACTGCACGACATCAAACACTAGTAACTTAGCCTACATGCATGTACACGTACGGTGACGTACCGGTTATAGCATGGAGCAAGAAAATACTTCGCATAATTCTGGCCTTGGTTGTAGTACCGGTACGATGTAGCTATATGGCTATATGTAGCGTGTACAATCACAAACACAATGTACAATGTGTACCGTGTCAGCCAGCTGCAGAATGATGCATATATCTCCGAGCTCAAGCTATGCCCTCTGAATTCTGCTGACTCAAACTTTTAACTTTTAAGTTCAAAGTTCATCGGGCTGTGATTGCGATAACACATTGTCAACGTGACAACTGCAACTTCAAGTGATTCTCAAGTTCACAATCAACAACTTAGCAATGACCGAATCGGAACACACAGTAAGTATATAGGCCTAGGCTCACACATAACGATAAAAAATGTTCAGCCTGAACTTTCCAAATCTACTTTTCGATGGAAATCACTTTACTTTCCTGTGATCACAGTGACTTTTCTGCTTGTGGTTGGTTGAACATAGTCTTACCAAAATTATCTACGCATGGGTTGTTGGCTTTTGCAGCATGCAGAGGCCTACCGCACGTGTGAATGAGCGTTCGTGCAACATTACTATTATACATGTACATGTAATTGTAAATGTACACGTATAATCATGGAGGAAGAAAATAGATCCCAAAAGTAACCCAGCGAATTATCAATGGAAAGCTACGTAGTCAGGTAGGGGTACAGTAAAACACCCTTGAGACTCTATCTGGATTGATTTCATTTACAAGAAATCAATCATCAGTCAGTTGGCAGATTTTTAAGCTCTGGCAACAGAGCGACTACAAAATACAAATCATTTTCATTTTAGTTGTCGGTTGGTCGGTCGGTCGGTCGGGTCCCCCTTCCCCCCCCCCTCAAAAAAAATTTCAAATGCCCGAAAACGAATCCCCTAACTCATCCATAAAATTGTAAGTACCAAATTGTAACTGTCCAAAAAAAAAAATCATTAAATGCTTGTCAAAAAGTTGTTTGTAACAAGAAATGTTTTGAATATGTGTGGTAATGTGTTTTGTGCGCTACGAACTCAGGAAGTTAGGGGCTTCTACACACCTGTGACTATGCATCACCCCTGCGTCTGGCCCTGTGTCAGTTTCATGAGTCTCCCGGCCAGGAATGAGGATACATTATGAAGGTCACTATTATTTTGTACAAGAAAAAGCTTTTCAGGAATTGAAATCCATGATAACTCAAGCACCAACTCTACAATACTTTGATGTAAACAAAGAAGTAACACTTAGTGTTGACAGTTCAAGTTCAGGAACAGGTGCAGTATTACTGCAAAGTGAACTCCCAGTGGCATATGCGTCCAAAGCATTTACAGAGACCCCAAAACGATGGGCTCAAATTGAGAAAGAAGTGGCAGCAATAGTGTTTGGCTGCACAAAATTTCACAACTACATTTTTGGCCGCACTGTCAATGTGCAAACTGACCATCGTCCACTGGAGGCAATATTCAAAAAACCGCTGTATACAGCACCGATGCGGTTACAAAAGATGCTGTTAACACTACAGAAATATGACCTGAGAGTGAAATATGTCAAAGGAAAAGACTTGCATGTAGCGGATGCTTTGAGCAGAAACTACCTTCAAGATTCTGAACCTGCGACAGATGAAGATGTTCCTGTGTGTATGGTAGATTGCATACCTATGTCAGAGACAAAACTGAATGAGCTAAAACAAAAAACAGAGAAAGATGTTGAATTGCAAGACTTGAAACAAATCATTCTAGAAGGCTGGCCAGAAACAATCAACAAAACGAACAAATCCTTGCGGCAATACTGGACCATGAGAGAAGAACTAACTGTAGAAGATGGTATAGTGTTCAAGTCAAAAGAGTAGTGATACCGAAGACAATGAGAGAATATGTTTTGAGCACAGTTCACCGATCGCATCAAGGAATAGAGAAAACCAAACAGTTGGCAAAAGACACTGTTTACTGGCCAGGCATGCTTAAACAAATAACAACATTGGAAGAAAGTTGTTATTTTGTATTGTTGGACAATCCTTATTTCAATTGACAATCACGAGTGCAGTTTGAAAATACACACGGAGTGCTATGGACTAAGTCGCGTTATACGTGTCAAAAGGTTGTGCATTGACTTTCGCTGTTTCCTCGAAATAATATTCATATACGCTGAGCTGAAACTTCAGCAGGTTTGGGTTTGGAACATTCTTCTTCAACTTTTATCATTCGAAACGAACAAAATGCATGAAGACAAAATGATCATGCATGCGCCTTTAAACCAAGGGCGGATCCAGGGGGGGGGGCCAAAGGGGGCCATGGCCCCCCAAAACGAAACCATTTTTTTTGTTTTTTTTATGTGACATTGCAATAAAGGCAGGCAATGAGTACACCACCATCTTTTCCTCAAAAAACACTGGTTAAAGTGGTCAGAAATTGCCTCAGATCGCACCACAGAGCATCTAGAATCCAAAAAAAATTCGGGCCCTTAAGCGGGCCCGAACCCCACGCCGTAATTTTTTTGACCCACTTTTTGGGGTCACAAAAAAATTTTTTGGCCCCCCCCAAAAAATTGTGTTCTGGATCCGCCCTTGCTTTAAGCCATGTTGGTGCAAGCTTAATACTGCTGAAGGATCCGTGTTATTTCCTTCCTTGTTTCATTTCCTTCTTTACAGCATAAAATAGTGATTACATTTTGAAATGAGGAATTAAAACTGTATGTGTGAAAGTTCCCTTCGGGCGCTAGATGTAAAGTTAAAATGAAACACAAAACTGATGGAGTTTTGCTTTGGATGATGTAAACAATAATATAGGTTTTAGTTTCGAAAACTTGTGTGAGAAAAATATTTTGCATGTGTTCTCAGTAGGGCACCTGAAATGTTAATTGGAAGAATAATCAATGTGTCCATTTTGTGCCCCGTTCATCAAACCAGGCGAGTTTTGCCACTAGGATAGGGGGATATGAAGGGAGAAACACGGCTCCCAGTCTCGCCAGTCGAAGGCAACATCTCTAACCCTGAGAAAAAGATTGTTTGTGATAAGGCCCTAAACAATAAACAATGATTTTATTGTGAAACTGTTTTTAGAGCTGTCACAACATTCAAGTTACATACATCACAAAACGAAATGATCAAATTATCACGAAATACCTTACTGGATTGTTAGGGAATTACAGTCTAAAGCATCCGGTAAAATCGTGGCTGCTGGTGTGCTGACATTTTCAAGACCAATTGTAGTTTTCCAACGCTGGTCGGCCGACCAGCGTTGGAGAAAAATGGCTATATTTAGAAAACCCCTCCTTATTTTTCATAATTAGTTATTCCGCATTTTCTTTGCAGTTGATTACACATCTGTGAAGGGGAACAAGCCTGCTAGACTGATTCTCTGACCTTACAACCCCCCAAAGTCTATAAATTGCTCCGTTTCATCTTAAGTGGGGTCAGGGAACCAGACTGCAAGAACATGGTTGGTTTTCGTGGTTTTTCCAGCATCTTCAAGCCCAAAACGTGAAACAAATCATTTTAACAATATTCGCTATAACATACTAATCCACCAAATCCATTTATTTCTGAAAATTGCAGCAAAAGCAAATGTTGTACATTCCCTTTAATTGATTTGTTTACCTTGTGATTCCTTTATCAGTAATCTGTTCCATCAACCTGTTTAATTTTTTACCAATAACACGCACAAAACTGCACAGGGAACATTTTTTGTTGTTATTTTCAAAATACTTTAGCCTATTTTGTTTATTTATTGTTTGCCAAATGTGGCAATAAAATGTTTGAGGTCTGTAACTTGGCCCTAAAAAATCTAGGTAGGTATTTTGGTCTCATACCCTCGTCTGTTGGTCATGATTGCATGTGCCTTGTTGTTATTGTCACCAGCTGTTTGGACAGGTTATTTGGGGGGGGGGGGTGGTAAGAGGTAACGTGGGAGAACAACTCCACCCCCCCCCAACCCCATCGTAAAGTCCCCTCCCCCACACAAAGTAAACCTTAGTCACGCCCAATGTGTCGGGGAGAAGCATTACCGCACAGTTCTCGTTACATAACGTAAATTATCCATCCAAAATAATGGCGTGATATATTGTTGATATTCCTTCCTCCATGCTCCAAGCTGCAGTGACGGAAGGAATAGTGTACATGTAGCTGCAAAGCGTGTAGAACGGGTTCAGTAGGTTCCGAAGAAATATGAATGAGACGCTGGCCTTTTTATTTTGCTGCATTTGTAAACGAGGACATCGGCCTAAGGACCCCCTGTGCGGATTTAACCTTTATTCACGTCATTTTTCACCAATGCCAAAAACAATTCCTTGTACATGTAGTTCTACAATGGAGCTATAGCTATAGCTCCGTGGTTCTACCATGTACGGATTGAAGGCCCATCAGGTCTGCATGACCTTTGACCAAATTCGGAAAGACCTGTAGTTTATTATAGCTCGTAAAATAGGAGACAGGTCGACCATGGAGGAAAAAAATGAATCGACTGAACAGGTATTTTTGTAACGGTTTAGATTTTTAAAGTGGAGCTGAGGCATATTTGGGCTTGAAACAACTCAATGTAAAAAATGCCAGCCTCGTCCCCTGTGCTTACTTTAATTCCAACGTTGTTTCCAATAGTAAACCCTGGATAGGAAACTTCCTTCCTGCATCCTGATTCGATACCGCAATTGGCTAGAAATGGATTTATATCGTGTACTTGGTGTTGTTATTCACAACGTCAATACGTGTTTTCGCGATCATTCGTCCACGCCTTCTCGAAAATATTCATTTCCTTTCCAGTTTGTTAATATTAATATGAAATGTGATACTGCATGTTGTCTCGTTATTGTAACAGTTCAATTAAAATAAAATCATGTTTTCGTAACTCACGCCATGCTCGTGCTGCGTCGAATTGATTCTGTTTTTACCCCAGACACCGCATACAAAAACAAACGCAAATGTAACGCACAGGCAGGCACCAGACTACTCTTAATTTGCATACGTGTTCAAAAATCTTGCACATGCAAATGATCCAATACCAGGGTGAGAGAGCAGGTAGTGGTGGGCGCGTACTGCTCGACACCCTGGGGACGAGGTTGAAAAAATGCATGCATCTGTGCTATCGTTTTGTAGCAAAGTTATTTCCTTCGCCAAGGAGGTTGTTTTCATCGGCGTTGGTTTTTCTGTGACCATGATAACTCAAAAAGTTATTGACGGATTTTTTTGAGGGGGGGGGGGGGACTGTTCCTTGGTAAAAGTACTAATCGATAAGATTTTGGAAGTGATCCGGATCTGCCTCTGGGATTCAGGATTTTTCACCCATAGAAAACTTTCACCCTCTGCAGTGACCAGCTTCGTGTGCGTGGCACTGACTAGTTGACCCTTTATACAGGGTGAGTAAAAAAAAACCCACCGAAACCCAAATGTCGGGACCATTGTTCTGGTGAAGTTCTGCATGTAGTACTTTCAAAACCTAGGATTTTTTTTTTACTCATCCTGTCTGCCTTATCACTATTGATCTCACCATTGATAAAACAAAATCAGAAGTTCCTGGATGTCAGTTGTCTATGTAATAGACCACGGCGAATGCCATGTCGGAAATAGATAGGGCCCCGGTGTTTCTGGCCTCCTGTTTAAACTCCACGTGGAGTATTTAGGAGAAGAACCAGCCAAGAACCAAGAACCAGCTCCGGGTTGTCAGCGCCCACCGGTTGAAAAGCATCGAGCTATATTATCACCCCGAATATTTATTTCTATCACGGAACAAAATGAGCAAGGTTTGTGTAGAATGCAGTATCCTGACGCCAATTATTTTCTCTGTCCTGGTAAACACGTGGAGAAAAAAACATGAATGTGGGACTTGTTGGCCAGTATTAAAGTAACCGCTGGACTCGGGAAAGGTAACTGAGAGGAAAAACGTCCCATGCTGTCCGCACTGGACTTAAAATGGGAAAAGTACCCATAGTCTCGGTTAGTTTTACCAAAAAAGTCCAGTGCGGACAGGGCTTTAGAAACATCCCCAGTCTTGACGTGGAACACCTGTTGTGGGGGTGAGTGTTCTAATGTGAGGAAGTGCATGTACATTGATGTATAATGACAAAGCATGCATGCAATAATTATGCAGTCACTGAAAGTTTTTGTGTACTTGCATCATTTGTGGAGGCCTATTACCACAGTCTTCTCTTTCATTGGGGGGAGGGTTGGAGAAAAAAACTGGTAAACAAAAACACAGCTAATCAAATTGCCATAATTGAAATAAACTGCCTGAGCAAGACATGCAGGTGCAGGGCGGCACAGCATAGTCATGATAGTATAGCACAATCGTCATGTATTGCATGACATTTGCACGCAATCCAACTTTTGAACTTCTTTTCTACAGCAGTCACAATAAACCATGCGCAAATGACAGGAGAATAGGTAAACATGGAAAAACACATTCACAGACACACACATACATGTATCTATTCATGAGAAGAAACTGATTTTATTCTTGTAATCCAACAATGTCTAATATATTTCAGTCCCTCTAAACCAATTGTAGTTTTGTCTTCGAAGGTGTTGGCATACCGGTAGTACTTGGTAGGCCCTACAAGTACATATGTACATGTACAACAGTTCAATCATGCAACTCCATGGTTCAACCATTTCTGTGGTTCCGTCAACCAGACGAAAATAACTAGCGGGCCTTATGTACATACTGTACGCGTACAATGTTGTACCAAGTGGCTGTGCTCTTGCTTGTTTTACCCAGGGGATGTGGATTGAATAGCACGTCGTAAAACCATCATCATGGCTAACCAGACCCAATGCCCCAGGCATCCATTAACTTGAGGCTCAGGCTCCTGGGACTACCACAGCAGCATGTTTTCCACTTAAATTTAAGAGTTGCTTGATGGCGCTATTTAAAAAAGTGTAAGTGGCACCTGAAACTAAGCAAAAAGAACCCACGAGCATGGTTAAAATGTGTCCACAAAGCCAAAGTGATGGCTTGTGTATCTCATTATTTCTTCTCCCACATCATTTTTTTTAGGTGTTAAGGAAACTGACGAATCCCTTTCCCCGTCTGACGTATCGTCGGTTAATGGTGGTCTACGCTTCTATATGCTTGTGCATTATCTCATTTGTATGTGTTCTGAGCAGATATCAATATGGTAAGTATTTTTTTCCGGTAATTACACACTCATTATAAAGGTTGTTTAACTAAATTCTGAAACGAAATCATGTCGTGTTTTGTATAGAGCTATACCATCCACCTATAAAGCGGAAACTTCATTTCCCAGTGAAATCCAGATCGCTTCCTTAAAATCTTTACAGTCGATTAAATGTCCATGGATCCATTGTGGTAACGTTGGAATTGTGACTTTCTTTATACGCCAAACCACATGTAGGGTGTGCATTTTGTATATGAAAAATATGGCGCTTACAGATTATACCTCATTGGTCACGGTATTTCAAAGGGCACGCACAAAGTTTGGCTTCGCCAGATTTCAACCTGGGCGCCTTTTTCTGAATTTCGCACGTGTGTCGCCCTGAAAAGCACCATATATTGCCATATATTGGCCCTTTGTGTGCATAATCGTCGGTTTTGAACAGCGCCCCCATCGACAGATGGTACCAGCACCCCCCCTCCCCCCCCCCCCCCCCCCCCCCCCCGGCGCTTTTTGATTTTACGGAGGCCAAGTGTCCAGAGAAAAAAACCTGTCTACATTTCACCACGGATGTGCACGTACCCTTGTCAAAAAAATTTGCCCCCCCCCCCTAAAAATGACCGTGCTACGCCACTGGACCATGCTGCATGCAAAACATCAAGTCAATTACTGCATCATGGTGGCCCTGAAGGGACATAACCGATCGTGAATAATTCAGTGGCAGCCAAAGTAATAATTTTATTTCTTTCATATTCACCCTGTAGATACTACCCATGTCAACGTTCAGAAGACATCTTTGAATTGGATGCTTCGCGGCGTGTCACATCATGCTCCAACAGTAAATCGACCACATCATAACGAATTAAAAGATTCACTAGGAAATGTTTATATTAAGCATCAGTATGAAGACTGGCTTCAGCATTCTGCTAACAAGGTTAGACCTGTTCCCTCAAAACGTTGGTTAAAATATGGTAGGTTAAAAAAGTTGGTTTATAATTGTAACCGACATTGTGTAAAATAATGTTTCCAATTTGACCAATGCTGGGTACATTATTTTTACCAAGTGTTGGGTAAAATGTGGTCCTTTTTTTAACCAACTTAACAAACTGTTGGGCTATTCACCTTGTAACCAACGGTTGGTTAAAATAGTTACACTTACCCAACGTTTGGTAAATTTAATCAACGTTGGGTAAAATGGCTAATGGCTCCAGCGGTCTGCTTACAAGGTAACTTAGACAACTTGTATTCCTTTCCATACAGCACTCTCAAAACGTTGGCTATAAAATTTGGTTGGTTAAAAAGCTGTGTACAATTTTAAACAACATTGTATAAATGTTTCCAATTTGACAAATGTTTGGTATATTTTACCCAACGTTGGGTAAAATGAGTTCCTTTTTTTTAACCAACTTTTTAACCAACTGTTGGGCTGTTCAACTGGTAACCAACGGTTGGTTGAAATTGTTACACTTACCCAACGTTTGGTAATTTAATCAACGTTGCGTAAAATGGCTAACGGCTCCAGCAGTCTGCTATAAACGAGTTAAGACAACTTGTATTCCTTTCCATACAGCACTCTCCAAACGTTGGCTATAAAATTTGGTTGGTTAAAAAGCTGTTTACAATTTAAAACAACATTGCATAAATGTTTCCAACTTGACAAATGTTTGGTATATTTTACCCAACGCTGGGTAAAATGAGTTCCTTTTCTTACCAACTTTTTAACCAACTGTTGGGCTGTTCACCTGGTAACCAACGGTTGGTTAAAATAGTTACACCACCCAACGTTTGGTAAATTTAATCAACGTTGGGTAATATGGCTAATGGCTCCAGGAGTCTGCTAACGAGTCAAGACAACTTATATTCCTTTCCATACAGCATTCTCAAAACGTTGGCTATAAAATGTGGTTGGTTAAAAAGATGTTTACAATTTTAAACAACATTGCATAAATGTTTCCAACTTGACAAATGTTTGGTATATTTTACCCAACGTTGGGTAAAATGAGTTCCTTTTTTTTTAACCAACTTTTTAACCGACTGTTGGGCTGTTCAACTGGTAACCAACGGTTGGTTGAAACAGTTACACTTACCCAACGTTTGGTAAATTTAATCAACGTTGGGTAAAATGGCTTATTTCAACCAAACGTTGGTTACCAGGTGAACAGCCCAACAGTTGGTTAAAAAGCTGGTTAACAAAGGAACACATTTTACCCAACATATATTTAATGAACCAAGATGGGGCACAGAATGCATTAACTGTGGCCATTTTGTCTCTCTTCGTGTTTCGACGCAGACTTTCGACCTTCGGCCGGAGAGCGGTTTCATGAAACAACAGGCCTCGATTCAACGCCAACGAAAGAGGGCGCTACAGCAAGTTTGTAGAAAACATCCAGAGTTGAGCGATGTGACGTTCACGGGCGGAAACACACGTCTACTCTTCGTCGCTGAAAAAAGCAGTTTGTTTTACTGCGTTGTTCCCAAGGTAACTGATCTTACCTGCCTAATGTACAAATTATATCTTATGGCTTAGATTGTTATTAATTGTATTCTTATTTAAAACAATAATTATTCGACGTCATTTATTATAGTGGTATAATTAAGTAATTGTAATAAAGCCCCCAAAACTGTTTGCATATTTTCACTTGATATTTTGCACAGGAACGAAAATATGCTGCCCCATAAGTTGAAGACTTACAGCAGACGATATGTCACCTCATGGTGCGACCAATGGCGGATCCATAACCAAATTAGGGGGGGGGGGGGGGGGGAGAGGCTTGAGTATTTGGTGTATGTTTTTTTCAAACAGGGGAATATAGTTTCGGGCGTTATTTCTACACTGTATTATTCAAATTTAGATATGTGTAGCTGATGGCTTGCGAGGGAGATACGCAACGTTTTTCCCCCTGCAAATTTAAGACAAAAAGGGTTCTTTACTATACTCCGA